ATTACAGAGCAGTCTGCTTGACCTTTATACCTAGAAAGATCATGGAGCAGGCCCTCAATCTATTATGGGCATCTAGAACAGAACAAGGTGATCAGAAACAGTTAGCATGGATTCACCAAGAGCAAGTCATGGCTCAACATGATTTCTTTCTAGGATAAAGTGACAGACTCTGTGGATGTGATATATCTTGATTTCAGCAAGGTTTTTGACACCATCTCCCATGACATTCTCATTAACAAGGTAAAGAAATAGAGACTAGGTGAAAGTACTGTAAGGCCAGTACATAACTGGCTCCACCAGAAAGAATAGGGAGGAGGTACCAAGTGAGGTTTCCAAAGCATCTGTCCTTGATCTGTTATTGCTCAACATCTTCATTAAATTATTTGGATGATGGGACCTTTCTGACTATGAGGCTGATCAAGCATTGGAAAAGGCTACCTAGAGAAATTGTGGAATCTCCATCCTTGGAAATTTTCAAGACTAGGTTGGACAGACACTTGGCTGAGATGGTTTAGTCAGAGACAATCCTGCCTTAAGCAGGAGGCTGAACTAGATGACCTTGTGAGGTTCTTTCCAGCCTATAACAGGGAGCCAGTGTGGCAGGCTAGCCTTGCTGAATAGGCAGGCAGCTGTGCAAAAACCAGCTGCACTGTAACAAGCCTGCTGTGTAGAGCTGCCACAGAGGATGGGCTAGCCATTAAGCAAAGGAGAAACACCTGTGGGTTGCTGAGGAGCCACCTGACTGAATGAGGTGGAGCTTAGAGGCCAACAAGCTTATAGTGTTTGGAGCAAGGAAGGCAGTCTGGCCCTGCATGCTGCAGGAAGCAGATCTGGGAGAATAGGGCTGCAGGAGACAGCCTGGCAGGCACCCAAGCTATCCATGAGAGCTCAACAGGAAGTACAGCTTGCAGGATGATATTGTCCTGAGCAAGAGTGACTTTTAGCTTGGAAGACGGTACTTGTGTTTGTGTTGAAGTTAAGTCCGATACTGGAGGATCAGCTTGCAGCTATAGGGGAGGTGTGGAGGTAGCCTAGTCTGGAGTCCCAGAGACACAGAGGGCTGAGGGCTAGTATAGTGAAGGCTGCCTGGCCTGGGGTTGGGGACACAGTGGGTTGAGAGAAGGCCCAGAATGCATGAGACAAGGGCCAGGGGCCCAGAGCATTCAAGTGTAAGGCATAGTCGGGGCCCAGATGCCATGTGCGGGGTAGTGGACCTGGGCTGAGGGGTGCAGCCAGAATAAAAGGGCCAAGGCTGGGAAGGTTAAGGCCCAGACAGAGGTTCAAGGTCTGAAGCTACACTGGGGCCAGGCAGCCCCATCCAAAGGAACATGGAGTAACATCTGGAGGCCACAAATATAGCCCATAAGGCAACTGGTGCCCTGAGGCTCTGAAAGGGCCAAGAGGGTCACAAGTTAGTGCCCAAGAGGCAAGGCTGGGCCCAGCCAGGTACGAGAGGACCCAGTTGGCTAAAGGGGAATACGGCTCACTCTGGTACCCTGGGGCAGTCTCCCTTAACACCATAATAACTCCATCAAGACATGACAAGCAAAGAAAAGGGAGCAGACCCTGAGGAACTACAATGGGGGTAGGAGTTGCATGGCCACCAGGGAGGGTCACAGCTGCCCCTGGGACCTGGTTCTGCTGCATGGCCCTACTTTCCTAGGATCCTATAGTGAATAGTAACTGTCAATGCACTCTCAAAGCTACAAAATTTTAGATTCAAGGTAGATGAAGGCACAATCAGTGTCACGATCTGAATTTCATTGTGAAACAACAGCTGTAAAAATCAAACCATCAAGGTAATCAACAGCAATTACTTTGTTCCATAAGACAAAGATATAGTCTGTTTGCTCCCTAATCTTTTTATTTTACTACTTCAGCGTATTAAAAATTAATGCTGGTGATCATGAAAGTGACAGATGGATTTGAAATATTGATGAGAGACAGTATAAAAGTAAAATCAAGCAGAAACTAAATACACTTTCACAAAGCATCCTAATCACTATCTGGGGAGTTCTCCTAGTTCATAATCAGTTTGTATTGTTTTTCCTCACATAAGTTTTATTTAATATTGGAAGTGCTGCAAAACTTTTATATATGTGGCAAAGAGCCAGCAATATATCTGGGAATGTTGTGAATGTTTAACTGTGGGGGAGGGAAGAAGAGGATCAGCACTGAGAAGAAATATGGTGAATAGATGGGATGATTGTGCTGTTTCAAACTAGCCAGAGGAAGAGATTTAAAAGCCATTTAAAAATCAGTTGCATGCAGTTTTTATTTTCTAAATTAGATAAGATGGAGAAGAGCAGAGGACAGAGCCTACTGGTTTTTGGAGTATGAATAAAACTACAAGTAAGGCAGATGTTGAAAGGGCAGCAGCAGGACAGAGCTGCAAAACCCCAAAGACCATGATGAGTAGAATGTGACTTATGGCAGGAAAAAAAAAAAGCCAGAAAAAAGGTCAATGAAGTAAAAGGTGACGTGCAAGTACAAACTGTAATGCAAAAGAATCCACAGTGACATTAATAGCAGCTAGATTAGTAATTGCTCATCTCTGGACTCACAATGAAGTTGTTACTGCGTGCAAGTATCTGATTTCATACACCTCCTGGAATCCCATTAGAGACTGTGGTCACTGTACTCTCCTGTTCTAGCCAAGAGGCAACACTGTGCAGTAACCACCAAAGAATGGCAAATATTCTATACTTGCTGGTTTGTAATGCAAATGACACGCATACTCTGGAAACTACTCAACTATTTTTTAATTAAAAGTTTCAGAAGCTTTTAACAGATGATATCTGATTGCTAGAAAATTTATGTCAACAGATATTCACAAATGGTACTGCATGTACTGAAGTGGTTCTCACTTGTAATCCTTTCTAGAATAGTGGGGATCCAAGACTGTCATTGCTTTTATTAGAATTTGCAAAACAATCTACATACACTTAATCCAGCTTGGTTTTGCAATGATTTGGGATTTTCTTCTTGTAGTTTTGAACACAAACTGGTGGGAGTAGAACAAACTCAAGATATCTATCTATCTATCTATCTATCTATAGAGAAAGAGATCTATAAAGATACAGATTTCTATATATCTCTATGTATATATATTTTACAAGCTTCATCTACAAATTTTCACTGTGCTTTCAGAGAGATTATCAACAGCTTAATGTCAAAGAATGAAAAAACTCACATTCTAGTGTGTCAGTTAACATGACTCAATATTTTTAAACAACTCTTCCACACGACTTAATAAACATTCAAATTAACAGAAACACAAACGGAAGGACATTCCCTCAACTGATTTTTCTGTATTTTATTAAACAACAGAAAACAGAAAAATGAAAAAGCTCCTCTTTTCCTCCTCCTCCAGTTCAGGCAAACATTCAAAATCAAACGATTTTGTTTCCCCAGTATGGGGCCCAGCCAGTAGTCTTTATTCAGATGCACTACTGAAATCAGCAGCAATTTTGCTACACTACTAAGCAGCATCACACTTGGCTGTGGCCCAGTTTTGACTATTATGCCAAGTCTTAAAAATCTCAACACAGCCCTCTGCACTAGAGGGCTGCTCCCTGGGCCATCCCAACCCTTAGGGGAGGCTATTAATTAGCAATCTGTCCCCTCCCCTGCCGGGGAAAAGAGCAGGCTGTCACAGCACCGCCACAGGAGGTTTCATCCCCAAGAGAATACTGCCCCACCCCATCCTACCAATCAGCTGACTCGGGGGGAGGGGAAGGGGAGGCGGGCATTCACCCCTTGTGGCAACCCTCTCTGTTCCCACTACAGCTCCTGTTCCTGGCCAGGGGCTGGCCCAGAGCAGTGCAGAGGGAGGTGGTGGCATTCTGTGGCTGCAGCAAGGATTCCTGAGCTCCTTGCAGCCCCTGCGCAGCTGTCTCCTTTCCCCTGTCCTGTCCCTCCTGTACCGGTTGTAGCCACCAAGCAGCTGTCTCCTGGCACCCCTCCCCTGCTGGTGCAACCAGAGGCATGCCAGGGGACTACTCTACCAACCTAACAATCATCCTGAAGCTACCTGCTCTCCTCCAGGCCAACTGGCGAGTGACTAGAGGCTATTCACCCCAGTGGCAACCCTCCTGGGGCTCTGAGAAGGCTCAACCCTTCCCGACTCCCTGACAGCTTGCTGTTGGGCAGGCTATTAAGAAGCCAGTGCTCCATTTTCCTTGTCCACCCATCCAGTCCTATAAACTAGTACCAGGTAACATTGAAAAAGGCCAGGGGAAGATCATAAATGATTTAGAAAAAAAACTTTCTGATTTTAAGCAAGTCTTTTAAAAATCTATACATATAAGTTGTAAAATAGCTTCCACCATTTAACTAGCTGTAGTCTCATACTTTCAAATGGTGACGATTCCCTTGAATGTGAGATTTCAAAGGAGCAAAAGGCATTATTAATCCAAACTGGAGGATTAGATCTAAGATTCCTCTTCCTGTTCCTCTTTTCCAACAATGTATTATGAAAGGGATGAGAGGATAGGTATCAAAGCAACTGAAACATGAAAATAAAGCTCTGATTTAGTTGCAAGATGAAAGAAGAATGTAAGGCACAAAAAGGGAAAAAAGAAGATCCTAACTTATTGAAGATATGTCAAATTTTTGAAGATTTATAAAGAGATTAATGATGGCCAAAAATGTCAGTGAAATTTACCTCACAGGCAAAGATGACATGCTTATGTTATATTTTACTCTAAATATAAAGATTTTTATAAATGGTTTTAATAAAAGGCTTTTATAAAGATTCATATTTTTAATGAATGCTTCCCTCAATCCTAACAATAACAACAGAACATATCATCTGACATTTCACTTCATGCATCAGTTTAATCAGAACAGAACTTACAGCAAAATTGCAACAGATTAAAACAAATTAATCTGTTTTAAAAGCTAGGCTTCTTAATCAAGATTTTGAGTACAATTTATAGTCCTAAAAAATAAGGAATCTAGTGAAGTACCTAGCAATATAAACAGATGTCAGTGCTTACCTTCTGATCTGAGTTCTCATAAAACAGCAGGCCAAAATAGTCCTTTTCCAATAAATTGAGATGTTCACACACCCTGTCAAATAGCACCTGCCCCTTAGCTCGTTTCTGAAAAATAAAAAGCACTTTTAGTAAATAGTTGGCTTTTTCAAAGCATTTAATTGCTGAAATGCAGTGCCACTCATTGTACATTATACAAATACTTTGAATTATAACTAAAACTGGATAACTATAAACAAAGCTCATGCAATATTGAGAAAATTAAAATTCCTTAAGATGGTATTGCTCTATTATTTTTGGACTACTATAAACACTTGAAAGCATTTTTCTCTAAAAGTTTCATCTTACAGCTTAGTAAAGAAGATTAAGAAAAACCTCACACAGAGAAATAGTACAATACAACTAACACTAGACAACTAACAGAAGATGTTGAGAAATAAGGGCAAATATCAAAGGCACTTTATAAAATAACATGGCCACTGTAATAAAGATAGTACCCTTATTCTTCTACCACAAATGGAACTGCAATTTGTTAACATGTAAACATTCAAACTGAAAATAAGTTATTTTTGTACGTTTTCAGTATTGTCAAAGGGATTCTGAATATGCAAGTTTGTTTACAAATTTTGCAGTGTTATCATGGCATCATACCAGCATACAATTAAATCTAAAATGCACTTTTTACCCAGTGCCAGCATTTTTATTCAGAGAAAGTTTGAAGTTTTTCTTGGCAAATAAATTGGAACACTTTCGTTTCACTACATTATATTTAGTGAGGCAACATAGTGGTCAGATTGGTTTATCCATTAGCTTTTTTGACTTTTTAAATACAGTAACCAAAGACTGTTTGACACTCGGCCAATATGGTGTAGATCCTCAACAGAAGACTTTCTGAAACAATTAATGGCCACTGACAGACGTGGGGAAAAAAAAAACAAAATGGTGCTTTATTTTCCTTCTCTTTTACTGTAATGTAACTAGCAGGATTTGTGCCCTGGGAGGGCAGAGGGTGCCAGGAGGAGCAGGGAAGAAGTCACGCCTGCTTCAGGGACTCAAAAAAGCTTCTTTCTGGCTGTTACTGCTACCGTAAGGTTTTCCTGCTCTGGCTGTTACTATTACAGTGATGCCCTCTCCACCACCCTCCACCTTAAATTACACTACTGTCTTTGACAATGAAAAAAGGAATAGCAGCTAATTCAGACAGTAAGTGCTCAAAATGGTTGTAATACACCTACTGTCATGATGCAATACATTAGAAAATAAAATGCATTGATAATAGCATTAATCTCCAATCCATCTTCAATCCTTGTCAGGGATTATAGCACATTTCTGGTATGTTTAACCACTAAGCATTACTGTTCTTTTTCCTGACACTTTTTTCCTTCTTTCCCAAGCAGATTTTACCTTGCTGTTATAGGACAAATATACTGCTCTGGAGAAGCATTTAAGGGTGTGGACATGCAAACAATTTCCCCATGATTTTACCACCAATTAGTTGCTCCACTGTAACTATCCTTATGCCCACTACTCTGCAACAGCGAGGGTGTTAAACATATGGCCCACAGATTCTTGTTTTCTGCCCTATGGGACTCCCAGAGGGGCTGGGAATTTTGGAAGCAGAGCCCACCACTGAAATCCCAGGTATTGAGTCACACGGGTCATGCACTGGTGGCAGGGAGTGAGAAACAGCTTCATTAACTCCCACTGCAGCCAAGGTCACTCACCCCACTGTCTTGATTCTGTCCAGAAGGAACGGCAAGTTTGACACCCTTACTCTGCAGTTAGTGGGAGCTAAAACAGAGCAACTGAGACCACTTACACCAAGAACTGTATGGTTTTATTATAATGTGATCAAATCATAATCATAAGGCACAGCACAATGATGTAAGGGCTCAAAGGAAAGAAAAGAAGAAGTTTAAAATGAATGAGGCTGCCATTTTCACAAATTTGCTGGATATCAGCTTTAGGAAGAATTTTATGGGGAAAAATGCCTCGCTGAATCAGCCTATAACCTCATCTCTGATTTACAAGATACTGCAATACACAAAATAGGAAAAGCAAATTTGCTGTGCATTTATACTATGCAAAGGACAATGCAACCACCTTAGCTTTGACACAATTGCTTAGGTGCCAATTTTAAGTGACAAATAAGTACATTTATATGGTAAACTCTAGAGTGCAGAGACTCTCTTCATTGGTATGTGTAAAGTATTCAGCACAGCATAATCTGAGACTAACACCAAGACAATGTTTGTTTTGCAACTATAGTAAATATTACAGTCATGATTTAAACTTCAAATACACACATGGTCAGTTAGGCTTCCGAAAGCACACACTACCTTAACACTCGAGTCTGTTGGCTTAGCTACAAGAACTAAAATCATTCCAACTGGTATAAACGTTACGTACGCATTACTTGAGTCGAAAGTCATACCTTAATTTAATTTTGACCAATTAGATTTGCCACAAATTAATACTTTGTGTTGTTATTGTAATCAACACCAGGAGGAAATACAATGTTTGTTAAGTATAGTAATTCTCTCTCTCATTAAGCTTTAGTTATTTTTTAATCTGTACACTTGTTACTAGATATACTCCTGTAGGCAGTGCTTATTTGTGACAAATACGTAGTAGTATTTTCAACTAAATGTCTACTTGATAAAACAGTATGCGAGCAAAAAGTATTTTACACATTCTCCCTCTCCATTCCTTTCCTCCATCCCAAGAAAGTTTTATGTACCCTAAAAAAAATTTGCAACTACTCACAGTTCACCAATTTAAAAAAATAATGTGCCTAAGTTTGTCAGGATAATTTGCCCATTGTCTTGTTTTCAGTTACTGCCATTCAGTGTGGCCCTTTATTATTCATCACTATTACAATTAAAAAAAAAACCTCTTTAGCAATTAGTTCTAAGTATACTCATGATTTTTCACCCATCACTGTTCATGAAGGGCATTTTAGCTGGTCTAAATGTCCTGAGCATGCTGCTAATGGTGATTTGAGGAAAGGCAAAGATCATTCTGCAGAAAATCAGCTTCTGGAACAATTCATGATATGCTCAGCATACTGAATTTAATCATATTATGGCCTTTGCTGTCTGTCACATCCTATGTAATTTAGGGTACATTTTAGCATTCAACAGACACTAAGCATCTTTACACATTCAGTGTGAGGGGACACCAAACATTATAATTTTATACTGCTTTGTGCACTTCTCCAATGCATTACTTAGGAACCTTTTAATAGTGCATTAAGTAATACAAGGAAACTAGTCATTTATTTTCTCAACTCCCACTACCTGGAAAAACTGTGTCAAGTAGCACATTATTCTGGTCAGGTTTTTTTTATTTATTTGTACATGCTAAGTATTTTTATCAGGGAAGATCAGGTTGAAATTAGCCCTGTACTTGAAGGAAGATGGTGAAGTTGTGATGGCATTTTAGTTCAGTAGGGGCCTACCTTTTTGGTAGACATGACAAACTAGCCCTGCATCCTTCCCGAGTGCCACTCCAATTCCCTTACCTATGCAATCCGCTGCTTTGCTTTCCGCTTAATACCCTGTGCTCCCTCCTTGATCTGATGCTCTGCTTTCTGCTCCCTGCTTTATCTGCCGCTGTGCTGCCTGTCTCCTGTCTGATCAGTTACTCACAGAAGCTACCTGTGCCACAGGTTGGCTACCCCTGCTTTAGTTCCTGTGGAAATCCATAGGGCTAGGAACAGAAATTACACATAAACTAGTTAAGTGATTAGAAACCGATTAAAAACCTGTAAGAGGACAGAAGTTCAGTGCACGTAAACCAGTTTCAAAATGGCTGAAACTGGTTAAGATAAACCTAGCTGAATGTAGTATCAGAGTTAACTGATTTAGTTCAAACTGTTTTTTGGAACTTCTGTCCCAGACCCCTTCCTGGTTCAAGTTAAATCAGAGTCTCCCAGCATCCCAGAATGCTTTCCTGCCCTGGGCTGGACTGGGCTGTCTGCTCCAGAGAGCAGGGCTGGCCCCACCCCTCTGCTCCCTAGCTGGGGCAGTGAGGGCTGGCTCACTGGCCAGCTTACTGGCTCCCCCCAGGCAAACCCTGGCTGGGGTCTGGGGCCAGGGAGGGGGGTTAAACTCACTTTCCCCTGAGTACAGAGCTGTCCTGCCCAAACTTAGTGCTGGCTGCGACTACAAATCCCAAAGGCACCTGGAAGCAGGAAGAGGAAGTGAGGACCAACCCTGAGAGTCCTACTGGTATGATTGTGGAATGTGAATCCCAGAGATTCAGGGGCAGCAGGAAGAGTAAGCGAACACACAGCCCAGGTTGCATTTATAGCTCTCCAGTTTATAGTTTTTCAGAGAAAGAACTATTCTTGTTCAAGCTTTTATGAATTCAATGCCACTACCTTCCCCTCCCCCGCATCCAGGCAAAGCATGCGCTAGGTCCTGGCCATGCCCCCTTCGCTCCAGCAGGGCTCTTTCTTCCCTCTCCTTTGGCAGTGGCTGGCAGGTGTGCTATAGTGCCTCCCAACTTCAGGCTTGAGCCACTGCAGGTATGTGGCTGCATTTCGTGAATCAAAAGTGAATGTGTTTTCATTTGCTTATCAGTTCAATCTCTGCAAAGTGCTAAAGTGCAAAGACTGAACCAATTCAGCCTCAGGCTTTTGGACAGTCTGTACTTAGCCTAATAGTCTGAGTTGTTGCAAAATAAGCTTTGTTTTCTTCAGACTAATTTTACCTTTGCCACAGGAAGTTCCAGTATGCCCAAGAGGCAGAACCATCACCTATGGTCCTCATCCCAGAGGTTTAAGTGGTCATATCACAGACTCAAGTCACTGAACATCGTGAAGACTATGTACTCGACTGTGGGTGAAGGGGGAACCAAGTTCCAGAGAGAATAGGGATGAGGATGCCACATGCTGGAAAGCCTTACCTGCCCATGTATAAGATGATGAGGCACAGCCTCCCCAGAGGCCACCATTCTCCTGCCCTCTCTAGATTGTTACCCTGATGTCCTGTTCACTCACTCCTAGTTACACTACTGACTCCATGACCAAATATATCATGATGCTGCACGCTCTTTGGCATCCTTTCATCTACACAAGATGGTGGGTATTGCAGTCTATGATG